AGCAGTTCTAAGACGCGTTCGCCATTGCTCACGTCGCTCCGCCCCCCCCTTCCTGAAGATTTTAAAGACCACGTAAAGAATAAATTTACATTACTAAGGTCAAGTGAATGTGAACCGGAAATATGGGTTGAAACCAGAGATATCAAGGAAGAATATGCAAACAATATTCCTGTAGCAAAAAGGAATTAAAATCCTCAACGTCTGACTGATGAAACATTTAAAATTGCTACAAATAGGTGAAAAGCAAAAATTAAAATATGACAGAAATAGAATCAGAAGCCTAAATGCAGCATTCCAGCAACTTGCATGTAGAGACGAAGAGAACTATTATAATAACCAGTGTAAAGTAATAGAAGAGAACAACAAAGAAAGAAAGACAAGAGATCTGTTCCACAAGATCAAAGAAATCAAAGAGCAATTTAAAGGATGGTGAGGCATGCTGAAAGATCCATTCAGAAATACAGTAACTGAACAGGACAAAAAAAGAAAGGATGGAACAATATACTGAAGAACTATACAAAACAGATGACTGTGAAGATCACGAAAAACTATGGTTGGTTTAAAACAACCGTTGTTTTGATATGCAACCTGTACTCTGGACAAGAGGCTATTGTTAGGGAATGTGGAGAAACAGAACAGTTTCCAATTGGCAAAGGTGTCAGGTGAGGATGTATTTTACTGCCCTGTCTCTTCAGTTTATATGCATAATGTATCGTGAGGAAACATAGATTGGATTTAGATGAAGGTGGAGTGAAAATTGGTGGAACATTAACTGTTATGTATTGGGACTAAAACACTAACAATTTGAGATATGAAGATGACACCACAGTACTGGCAGAAAAGAGTGAAGACTTGAAATGACTACAGTACTGATGATGATTAAAGCAGAAAACACCAAAGGAGGATTACAGCTGAACATCCAGAAGACAAAAATAATGCTTATTGGGGAATTACACAATTTCCAGCATGACAGAAACATGGTAGGGGACCCAAGAAGCCAGTGTGGATAAACAAAACTACATGATGAGCTAAGGAAGAAAAATGAAATCTTAAAAAAAATTGAGGGGAGAGTATACTTCTAAAGAAGAGTATCTGGGGGTAGCCAGGCACTGTTGGTCAGCCATCAGAGAGGCCAAAGCTCTAAGTCAGCTGAGGCTGGCCAGGGAGGCTTTGCTATAACAAGAAAAGCTGGTTCAGATGTGTGAGGAGCAAACACAAGGTGATAGGCCCAGTGTTGGGTGGAAATGGATAAATTCTGACAGAGGACTGAGAGAAAGCAGAAAGGCTTAATACCTATTTTATTTCATTTTTTCCCCTAAAGAAGAGAATAGACCCATCTATAGACGGTTGTAGGCAAGGTACAGCATCTGGGTTGCTGGTTGACATGGACAGAGAGGCTGTTGAGAGGAACCAGGCTGCACTGGATGTGTACAAATCCCCCTGGCCAGATGGTACGCACCCAAGAGTACTCAAATAACTTTCTAGAGAGCTTGCAGAGCCATTGTCCATCATCTTCTAGACCTCTTGGAGAACAGGTGATGTGCCACATCTGTATACTGAAATTCTGTATACTGAAAACTCATGAATTTTTAAACATTAAAAAAAATAATTTTGTCCAAGAGGTTCCAGCTCTATTCCAGTGACTTCCCCCAGAAAAAAAGCCCTGCAGGGGATCAATATCCCGAACATCCGCAAGGAACTTCTTTCTACTTTACTGATGGCAGCCAAATCAGTCATAACAAGTAATTGGAAAAGTTCCACTTCTTTAACATTACACCAATGGTATGTAAAAGTGTGGGAATATTACACATTAGAAAAGATAACTACACCCCAATACCTACCGATTGTGGAAAGCAGCAAACATTACCACATTACACGACCTTGTTTACAAGCAACATCTAAAAGAAAAAGCAAAATTAGATTCTTTGGCACAAACAAAACTCCCATGGTTTGAATATATGCAGATTATGCACTTCTTTAATACTGCAGAGATAAAAGAAGCTTGCCGTAGACCCTATACAAATTTTGAAAAATTACTACTTACACCTACCAATAAGGGAAAAGGCATACTTTCTAAAATCTATAAACTAATGATAGACCCAGGACCTACAGTATTACCATCTTATGTTAAAGCATGAGAAAAAGATTTAGCTGTAGAACTACCTGAACCCTTTTGGGAAAACATATGGACTTCATACGCATCAAAGTCAAAAGCTATAAATATCCAGCAACAAAATTTCAAATTAATAACAAGGTGGTACCTCACACCAGTAAAGCTACACAAGATTAACAAAACATGTTCACCACTCTGCTGGAGAGAATGTGGCAAAATAGGTGCCTATTATCATTGTTGGTGGGACTGTTTTAAGGTTAAAGTATTTTGGAACAAAGTTTTGTATCATATTGAGAAATTAACCACTCATCGCATCCCGAGAAAACCAGAGATTATACTATTAAACTATTGGAAAGATTTTTCTATTCCAACACACTCAAAAGAACTGATTACAATATTGTTAGCTTCGGCTCACTCAACAATAGCGCAAACATGGAAAAACAGCAAACAAATTCCGATAAAACTTTGGTATTCGAAAATATGGGATCACTTCCTTATGGATAAAATTTCAGAAAAATTAGCGGCGGTGGAAGACTATACCAAATCTCTGGCTTTCTTTGGTAGATGGCGCCCTATTTTGGAAAACCTAGAACTCATATTAGAAAATGTGAAATCAACACAGAAATCACAATACTATGCGTTTATTCAAAGAGAGTGGGCTCTATAAGCATTAATCTAAGGACGAGCATATTTAT